GGAGACACCTTAATCTCATGAGAAAAATGTAGGTTACGGTCCCCCAACATATTGAAAACTGACTGCAGTCTTTTTTATATTAGGATAAATTTCTGAGACTAGAGTTTCTATCACTTTAGGATGCCATAAGCAGATAAAAGCAAAAGAAAAAAAGGAGACCAATTGTGGTGGTTTTAGGATATGTCCACCAATTTTTCGAAACTCCCGTCAATGGGTGGATCCTAATTTCCCTTCCCTTGAGTGTGGGTTGGACTTAGTGACTCACTTCTAGTGAATACAATATGGCAGATATGACAGGATGACTTCTGAGACTAGGTCATTCTTTCTCTTGGATTGCTCAGCCTTTTTGCATGACTTAAGGATTCCTTGATAACTTTCTTGTTTTCTTGGATGTCATGATGTTCCAGGCTCAACTTGTATGTTTTCTGTTTCAAATATGGAACCAGCCATTTTTCCAAGAAGCTCTGATTTCTTTTAGTGGGAAGTGGTAATTAGATGCCATAATCTGGGTACTCTTTGCTATTTTGTTCTTGTTTCTAGGCTTTTTCAATAGATAAAGCAGGAAAATACTTTTTTCTTTATTTAAGATAAAATATACTGTGGGGAAAAAACACAAAAAAATAACAACAAAATATACTGTGAGTTCATAGTTGTACTTCCAATTCAAATTCAGGATTCAAGGTGTTTTTGTTGTTGTTGTTAATTCTCACCCAAGGATATTTTTCCATTGATTTTTAGGAGGGAGGGGGTGAAGGGAAGAGAGAGAGAGAGAGAGAGAGAGAGAGAGAGAGAGAGAGAGAGAGAGAGAGAGAGAAACATGTCCATGGGTTGCCTCCCACACACCAGGGCTGGGAATTGAACCTGCAACCAATGTCCACTGAGCCAAACCGGCTAGGGTAGGATTCAAGGTATTTAAATGAACCTCGCTGTTCTTACATTTGTATATCTTTGTTCCCATAGCAAAAATCTTGGTTCCCAAATACCTCAATATAATTGCCCAATTGCTTTATCCTAGAAAACACACACAAGAAACAGTTTTAGATCAACAATACTGCCTCTACCACCAACAATATGATTACAGTCTAAAAAGTTTATAATATTTTTTGTTATTTGGGTATACTCCATAAAGAATATATAGTGAAGTTACTGGTGTTTTTTTTTTAAGTACTTGAAATAGTTCCTCTCTCTGTGGTTATGGCATCTACTCAGTATAGAGTTAGACTCATTTGTTTCATTTTGATTCTAATGTTCAGGGATTTATTTTTTAATTTAACTTTATTTCATAATTATGTAAAATTTAAAAAATAAGACATATTTACCAAACAAAGTATATAGAGAAAAAATGTAGCTACTCTCCCTGTCCTCTCTACCCTGATGGCTCTCTCCTATAGAGGATGGCTTTTTTTAGTTTTGGGTTCGCCTTTTTAAAAATATATGCATCTATCTGTAATTTTATCCCCTCCCCCTTCAGCTTTCTTAGATAAGTAGTAACGTGCTACACACAATTTTCCTCATGTTGATTTTCAGCAGACAAACACACATCCTAGCATTCACTCCATAGCAGTACTCACAGTTATTTCTTATTTTCTTTACAGCTTCCTTTGTGTGGGTGGGCCACTTCTTGTTCAACAGCCCACTGAAAAATGGGCATCTCCAGTGTCTTGTTACCATGACACTAGAGCAATTAACAGCTCATCTCATATCTATTTTGCCAGTATAACTTGGGGAGACATTTCTAACAGCAGGATGGTTGAGTCAAAGTGTAAAAACATATATAATTTTTCTAGATATTGCTAAATTCTTTTTCATGCAAATCATATTATTTTACATTCCCACCTGCAACATATAAAAGTACTGTCAGTCTACAGCCTCACCAAAAGATTATTTGGTTAAACTTAATATATATATATTTATATTTTGATTTCAGAGAAGAAGGGAGATGGAGAGAGAGTTATAGAAACATCAATGATGAGAGAGAATTAGAGCTGCCGTCTTCACAGCCCCACTGGGGCTCAAGCCTCAACCCAGGCATGTGCCTGACAGGGAATTGAACCTTGACCTTCTGGTTCATAGGTTGATGCTTAACCACTGAGCCATACTGGCCGGGCTATTAATGTTTAGTTTTTGAATTTTTGTCAATCTGATAGGTAATAAGCAGTATTTTGGTGTATTTTTAATTTACAAAAAATTTCTTTTCTCTCAAAAACAGTAAGGATATAATTTCAAAATCAAGTACAGCCTTTTGAATTAAAAAGTTTTATGCAAACATTACTCACTGTCTTATTCTGGGCTGCTCTAACACATTACCACAAATTGAGTGGCTTAAACAACCAATATTTATTTCTCACATTCTGGAGGCTTGAAGTGTGGGATGAAGATGCCAGCATGATTGGGTTCTTGGTAAGTACATTCTTCCTGGTTTACAGATGGCCATTAGGCCTCTTCTTAAAAGGGCACTGATCTCATTCTTTTTTTTTTTTTTTTTCAGGTTTTTTTTTTTTTAAATATATTTTTATTGATTAAGATATTACATATGTGCCGAAACCGGTTTGGCTCAGTGGATAGAGCGTCGGCCTGCGGACTGAGGGGTCCCAGGTTCGATTCCGGTCAGGGGTGTGTGCCTGGGTTGCGGGCACATCCCCAGTGGGGGATGTGCAGGAGGCGGCTGATCGATGTTTCTCTCCCATCGATGTTTCTCTCTATCTCTCTCTCCCTTTCTCTCTGTAAAAAAAATCAATAAAATATATTTAAAAAAAAAAAAGATATTACATATGTGTCCTTGACCCCACGTTACCCTCTACCCCCCCCCGCTCATCGCTCATGCCCTCACCCCCCCCCCCCCCCCGTTGTCCGTGTCCATTGGTTAGGCCTATATGCCTGCATGTAAGTCCTTTGGTTGATCTTTCCCCCTTACCCCCACCCTCCCCTACCCTCCCTCCAAGTCCGACAGTCCAATCAATGCCTCTCCGTCTCTGGATCAGTCCTTGTTCATCAGTTTATGTTGTTCATTATATTCCACAAATTTGAGTGAGATCATGTGGTATTTATCCGCTCTCCAGTTCCATCCATGCTGTGGCAAATGGTAAGAGTTCCTTTTTCTTCTTCCTCTTCTTAAAGAATACCTTTCAGCATTTCATATAATGCTGGTTTGGTGGTGATGAACTCCTTTAGCTTTTTCTTATCCATGAAGCTCTTTCTCTGACCTTCTATTCTGAATGATAGCTTTGCTGGATAAAGTAATCTTGGTTGCAGGTTCATGCTATTCATCACTTTGAATATTTCTTGCCACTCCCTTCTGGCTGCATGGTTTCTGTTGAGAAATCAGCTGACAGTCGTATGGGTACTCCCTTGTAGGTAACTGACTGTCTTTCTCTTGCTGCTTTTAAGATTCTCTCTTTGTCTTTTGCTCTTGGCATTTTAATTATGATGTGTCTTGGTGTGGTCCTCTTTGGATTCCTTTTGTTTGGGGTTCTCTGCGCTTCCTGGACTTGGAAGTCTATTTCTTTCACCAGGTGGGGGAAGTTTTCTGTCATTATTTCTTCAAAAAGGTTTTCAATATCTTGCCCTCTCTCTTCTTCTGGTACCCCTATAATTCTGATGTTGGTATGCTTGAAGTTGTCCCAGAGGCTCCTTACACTATCTTCATATTTTTGGAATCTCTTTTCTTTTTTCTTTTTCAGTTGGGTATTTTTTGTTTCTTTGTATTTCAAATCTTTGACTTGATTTTTGGGATCCTCTTGTCTGCTGTTGGATCTCCATAGATTATTCTTTATTTCAGTCAGTGTATGCTTAATTTCTAGTTGGTCCTTTTTCATGTCCTCCATGGTCTCACTATACTTATTGAGGGACTCATTAAGTTTATCGGCGGTTTCCATAAAATTCTTGAAAAACCTTATAAACGTGGCCTTGAACTCTATATCCAGTCGTTTGCTTTCCTCCATTTCTGCCATTTGTGACCTGTTTCTTTGTCTCCGCATTTTGGCTGCTTCCCTGTGTTGATAGAGTGGCTTTGTGTGCTAGGTGTCCTGTAGGGCCCAGTGGCTCAGCCTCCCCAGTTACCTGAGGTGGACACTCTTGGTGCACCCCCTCGTGGGCTTTGTGCACAGTCTTGTTGTAGCTATGCCTTGGTTGTTGTAGGATCACTGGGAGGAATTGACCTCCAGGGCAATTGGCAGCGAGAATCAGCTGTGTCTGCAGTGGGAGAACTTCTGTGCTGGAGACACCCTTCTGGGGCAAGACTTGCTTCATTGGGGCTTTGGTGCTCACTGAGACTGCACACTCTGAGTGTGTCCCTTATGGATCTGAGGAGTTGTGATCTGGATGGTCCCCCTCTGACCACTGGGTACAGTGGCTCTTGGATCTAAGGAGGTGCTAATTTAGCCTCTGCCTGAGGTTACACAGCAGGAACTACGAAGAGAACTGCAGATTCCCCTTCCTTTTTTTTGGAGTTTGGAAGAGCCCTGATGATGCTCAGCTGTGTAGCAATGCAAGCCGCTGTGGGGCCTTGGGCCTTCTCTTGGAAGCTCTGGGTCTATCTGGCCAGGCTGCGGTTAGGTAATTACAGGTTGCAAATGGCCGGGGCATTCATATGCAAAAGCCTCTGCCGCAGCCTGGGCGGGGCAGGGTCTCAAGGAATCAAAGGGCGGAGAAGGCAGCTATGGCGGATCCTTAGCCCCGCCCTAAGGAGTCGCGAGTCCCAGTGTCCTGGCAATGGCTGCAAGCACCTCTGAGGGAAAGCCGCTCTCAAACTCGCCCGCTGCCAGACAGTCCAGTTTCTCCCCGTATGAGTCCTGGGTCCCCAGAGACTTCCCGGAACCGGATTTCAGAGCTGTCGGGAGCTTGTGTCTCCCTCCGGATTCAAAAAGACAGCCGCGTCCTCAGGTGCCAGACCCTTTCCGCACAAGAGCCCCCTACCTCTGCACTCCACCTCCGCAGCTCCTCCCGCTCTCAGTGTGCTTTTCTTTCCTTCTAGTTGTAGAATTTACACTCAGCCAGCCCTCCTGTAGTTCTGGATGATGTCCACCTTGTGTTTTTGATGCATTTATCGATTGTTGTGGGAAGCAGCAATTTCCCGGTGTTTATCTATGCCGCCATCTTAGTTTCAACCCTGATCTCATTCTTGAGGGCTCCACACTTTTGACCTAATTACCCCCCAAAGTCTTCAAGTACTATCACATTAGGTCAAGATTTCAACATATGAATTTTGAGGGAACATAAACATCCAGTCAATTGCACTCATTAAACATTACTTATTTTTCTCACTTTACTAGGTTGGTAAAGACATGCTCATTGCCTAGTATTAGTCTCCAGAATATAGTAACCATTGCTCTAGCCAGTGTTTCTTGCCAGCACATATAAAATAATAATATTTGTAATTATTATTAGCAATAGCATTCAGGAGTAGAAGAGTGAGGCTAGTCCTTACCAAAGACAATAGGCTCCGGAGTTTCACCACCCCAAGACTCTGTCCAGCTACCCCAAGGATGAGACCTACAATACTGCTATAGATTTGGAATCAATACCTGTTATAAAGCTCTGTATTGGGAAACTAACCCCATAATGATACATGGATTCTTGTTAGTTTCCATCTTGTTAGCTGCCTTTCCTTAACCATTGAGTAAGAACTAGATCTTAACTCTGAGGCCTATAACCTTCTGTGCTCTGAGAACAAAGAGAACAAAGAATAAACTGTTCCAATTCCAGTGAAGCATTTAAAAGTTCTATCCACGTCTAAGTGCTTTAAAATGATAAGTTATATGCTCTTTACATTATCAGTCATTTTGATTTGCTCCTTAAAACAATGCATCTGACCCTGGGCAGTGTCACTTTCAAGCAGAAGCTCCTCTTTTCCTTTGCCATGGTGACCAGCATTTTTCCAGTTATAGGTGCTCCATCAGCCTGGATCCTGTAGTGAAGACAAATATGATGCAATAGTCAATCCACCGTGAACGTGAGCTGAGTGAGAAATAGACCTGTGTTGCTGTTTTAAGCTACTGAGATTTGGGGATTGCTTGTTATTGTAACATAACCCAGCTTGTCCTGACTATAACATTAAAGAATCTAATGTGGCTCTATATTATGGAGACCCAAGGTTTCAATGCAGTTGAAGAGATTGGAAAAATGTACCTCCAAAATCACACAGAAGTGCCAAATGATTATGTAACTAAAAGAACAATGTATATCACCTGTGGGATAAATAGCAGTTTATAGACTAATTAAGCAATTAATTATTCATGGAATCATTGGTTTTCAGAGCTTGATAGGATCTTCGAGATGAGCAAGTTCAATGCTCTATCCAACGCACAGCCCTTGTGCCATTCCCAGAGAGTAGTCTTCCAGAAGCTTCTTGAAAACCCACATAGAGGGATAGCTTATGTCAACTGTTTATGCAGCATGCTCCATTTTCCAATATCTCTAATTTTTTAAAAGTTCTTTGTATACCAAGTTGACTTCTTTCTCTCTCTTATTGAAATGCATTGATTCTATGAGTAAATTTAATCTCTCTTGCTACAAAGACGTAGCATACCACTACCTTCTACTCTTGGTGAAATATACTGTTTTTGCACTATTCCTTAATGTCATTATTTCCAGACCATTATCTTTCCCAGTCACTCACCTTTGGGCCATTCTTTAGTCTAATAACCAAGAAGATTGAATTTGGCATGCACTAGTTTCTACCCTCCCCCTGCCATATTCTCCCCACCCACCACCACTCCCTTCCCAAGCTGGTTGCCACTGGAATGAAAGCCGTACCTTAGTAAAAATTAAACCTATAAAAGACATTTTTGATGTGACAGTCCTCTAAGAGATCAAAACCACCTTGAGAAGAATAGCTAATAGTTAGGTCAGGAACTATAATAACAACAACAAAAAAAGACAAATCCCTGAGTTTTGCCTTCAGGGAGAAGTACTGGAACAATGGACTTATTGTATAATTGCAACCCAGTGATTTTTGGGACCAAGACAGTCTGAAACCAGAGAAGGGAAACCAGCTGTAAGAAATTCCAAGAAACATCAACATGTGTGTATTTCTTGGAGGGAAATTTCCAGTGATTTCTGGGAACATTCAGTAACTTCTATGCTTACACATGTTTGGTGTGTAAAGGCAAGTGGTTACCCCAAAGGTATTCATTCAAAAGTTAACACAGTGAGTCTTTTATTTTCTTGTTTAAAAAATGTGTCCTACTTTTTTTTCAATTGTAAAAAAATACATGCTGCCACAGAAAATTTAGAAAACACAGAAAAATATACATAAGTAGAAAGTCAATCAGCTCTGACAGGTACTCTATAATTAAAATATTTGTCTAGTCAACAGATAATGGCATACTTGTTAATGGTCATGTTTGATGTAACAAAATTGTTTGGCTGTGTCATTAAAATTTGTTTGTTTAACAGGATTTAGAATTTTAAAGCTTTAGCTCTTTATTTCCTGCTACAATTATAGAGTTTATTTCAATTCCATGACTTTACAGATAAGGAAATCAAGAATAATAAACCCTGTGACTATTTCATGGCTAACCAAATTGTCAAAACAGCTTGGCTGTTTTCAGTGGCCCATTGCCAATATATGTCATTTTAAATTCAACATGTCTAAAATGTTGAGCAACCCTAGCTGGTTTGGCTCAGTGGATAGAGCGTCAGCCTGCGGACCCAAGGGTCCCAGGTTCGATTCTGGTCAAGGGTACATGCCTGGGTTGTGGGCTCAGCCCAACATGCAGGAGGCAGCCAATCCATGATTCCCTCTCATCATTGATGTTTCTATCTCTCTCTTCCTCTCCCTTCCTCTTTGAAATCAATAAAAATATATTTTTTTAAAAAAGAAATGTCTACTTATAAAAAAATAAATAAAATGTTGAGCAATTCTATTTTTAAAATATTTTTTAAAATTTTTAATTGATTTTCAGAGAGAGTTGAGAGGGAGAGAGAGAGAAACATCGATGTGAAAGTTCAACATCAATTGGCTGCCTCCTGCATGTCCCCTACCAGCAATGGAGTCCCCAAAACAGGGCATGTTCACTGACCTGGAATGGAACCCAGTGACCTCTCGGTGCATGGGGCGACGCCCAACCACACTGGCCAGGGCAGAGCAATTCCTTTTTAAAGAGATGAAGTAATGTTACTTTTCTCGTTCACCAGACTTACAACATCAGTGCCTCTTCCTGACATATTCAAGAAGCTAACAATTGCTTCTTTAGAATCTCTCTAGGATTCTCATCCCTTCCACATGAATTTATGCCACCCACTACCTTCTGTCCCATCGACTGGGAAGATACTAATAAGGAAGACTTTAATTAATGTCCACCCAGCTGCCTCCATGTCTCCCCTCCCCCAATGTGTCCTTATGTTTTATCAGTCCTTTTTATTAAATGTGTGGGAGCTCCTCGTTGCTTACTGACTCAAACCTAAACTCTTTGGTCTAATGCTATTCATCTAATAGCTGTTTAGTTATCTACCCTGGCCAGGCACTGTGTAGGGAGGAAGTATACGATGATGCACTTAACAGACAGGATTCCCTGACCGTGGTGCCACCATCTAGTGGGGGAGACAGACAATCAAGGGAACAAAATTAACATGTAACTTGTGACAAGTACAATGAAGGAAATAACCAGGGTGCTGTGCCCCAAAACCACAGGGAGAGTCTACTGGTTGGTGAGTGGTGTGTAAATTGGGCGGGGGGGCCTAAAAGAGGAAGTGGGGAGATCGTTGTCTGGGCAGCAGATGAGGATGTTCTGGATTACTGTGGTGGCAGTAGAGAGGGAAGTGGTCATATTAGAGATATAAGAAATAGAAATGATAGGACTTGCTAATGAATTTGATCTGAAGGGGTAGGGAAAGGACTGAATCATGGATCATATCCAACTTCTTGTTTTAAACAATTTGGCACCAGTTCTGAGAAGAGGTATGAGAAAACAGTAAATCTGAGGAATTGAAAACAGTTCTATGTTAGATCTAACCATCTAAGGAGGAGGAGGAACCAGTCCTGTGCTAACAGCACCAGAGAGCAGGCTCCCGGACCCCTCCCCTTAAACCCAGCTCTCCCAGGGAGAACCCAAGCCTCCTGGCACCAGGGACCCAGCCAGAGCAGCTTTGACCTTGGCCTGTTGAGATATCTTCTACAGCCTCCAGAGCAGGAAAAGTCTGGCCACAGCTTTTTCCCGGTCTTGAGCAGAGGGGCAGAGAGAAGGGGATTTCTCCCGAGGATCCCCCATCTCACAGGGCCACCCTCTCTAGACTGACTGAGGAATAGAAAGAAAGGCAGGGCCTCCCTCCTTCCCCCCAATGGTGGGATCCTTTCCAAGCAGACGCATCGCCCCCCACAATTCTCTGTTGGGTCAGGAGGAAGCAGATCTGCCTCTCTGGGATCTGGAGGATGTGCTCTCTCTGCTGTGAGCAGACAGGCAAAGCCAGCCCCTTGCTCATCCCTCCCATTCTAAGGCTGGTGCTGGCAGCCTGTCCAGTCCAGCATTGTGGGCCAGGACCTGTCCCGAGGGGTGAGGCCTCTGGCTGGATGGCTCCCCGCCCCCCTCCCGGCTGCCCTTCCTGAACAAGCTAAACCGGATCTGCTCCTTGGTCATGAAAGGTGTGTTCTGTGACCCGTGGAACCTGCCCCCAGCTGGCTACTCTCACCTTAGCCACCCAGGTGAGGCTCTCACCTTCTGCCATTATCACTCAGGCTGCCCAGAGCTTGCAAAATGCCTTCTCTGGCCCTGGCTCAGTGGTTGAAGCCTAGGCCCAAGGACCGAAGAATTGAGGGTTGGATTCCTGGTTGAGGGCTTGTACCTCAGTTGCTCCATCCCCTGCCAGGTTGGGGTGTGTATGGGAGGCAACCAATGGGTGTGTCTCTTTCACATTGATGTTTCTCTCTCTCTCTTTCTCTCCCCCTCCTCCCTTCCCTCTAATCTCTCTAAACAGTTAATGGAAAAAATATCCTCAGGTGAGGATTAAGAACAACAACAACAATGAATGCCTTTTCTGTGTGCTCAGTCTGGCTAGAGACCATGGGTGCTGCCTGCACCTGGGGCAGGCTCCACTATCGTGCTTCCAGGAACAGCTCCCTCGGACCCAGAGCAGCCCTTCTTCCCAGGTTGGGAGAAGGGACATTGGACAAAGACAGGAACATCAGGCACCTGACACACTCCGGCCTGGTGCTCCCCAACCCCCAGGTCCCTGACCCCATTCCAAGGTAACTGTGGGCCAGCCCCTCATCCCGAGGACAACTAAACCTCAAGTGAGAACCCGGGAGGATGCCCTTGCCTGCAGCTGTGACCAGGAGCAGGCCCTGAAGTCGCAACTGTTAGGTCGCCCAAGGAGGAACGCACGAGGCCAGAGTGCAACTGCTCGAATAAACCTAGCACCAACCTTGTTTGGTCCCCATGTAATGACTTTTGGATTTGATTGTTCAAGAAATAAAAGGAGCCCTAGCTGGTTTGGCTCAGTGGATAGAGCCTCGGCCTGCAGACTGAAGGGTCCCAGGTTCGATTCCAATCAAGGGCACATGCCTGGGTTGCAGGCTTGATCCCCAGTAGGGGGCGTGCAGGAGGCAGCCAATCCATGATTCTCATCATTGATGTTTCTACCTCTCTCTCCCTCTCCCTTCCTCTCTGAAATCAATAAAAAAAAGTGAAGAAGAAGAAGAAGAAGAAGAAGAAGAAGAAGAAGAAGAAGAAGAAGAAGAGAAAAGAAATAAAAGGAAACAGAAAAGGGAACTGTATCTTCTCTCATTACTTTTATGGGCTTCCATTTAGTTTATGGTCATTCAGAACTTGATAGTAATTTCTACCACATATCGTCCTTAATTCGTGGGATGCTTTTAAATTTATGCCTTCCCAGTAAGAGTGAGACTGGGCTGAGGGCAGAGGTTTTGCCTCCTTTTGTGTCTACTACTCTTTTCCTTTTGCCTAGAGCTGGTAAGGCTGCCAGCCCCTCCCTGGGTTCCCTCCTGAAGGCCTCTGGCTGAAAGCTCCCCCTTGGGAGGAAAACAGCTCAAACTTAGCTCTGGCCTTGCCCGATAGTCTTCCCAGTGCCCCAGGCCAGCCCTATCAGTTATTTGCACGGGGATGTGTGGGGGAGGCGGGAAGAGGGGAAGTTGGGAGGAGGAGGGAGAGCTGTCTTTGGGGCCCCTGGCTTTTGCACTGTGCGCTCACTTCCAGCACCTCAGGAGAATAAAGTACTCACCCCAGGACGAAGACTTGGGCTTTCAGACTTTGTTATGTAAGAGAAACAATTTTAAAAGGTTAGTCACTCAGGCACTGACAGTGCATAAATGAAACAGTGGATGACTAACAGAAATTACAGGATGGCTCCACCCTCTGGCTGAATGACAGTCTTCTGAATGCTTTGGGTAATTTCACAACACTTAATGCTCGCTGGGAGCAGCTTTCTGGAAATAGGAGTCATTAGAATATCCTTCCCATCTCTTTCATTACCTGCTCAGCTCTCCTCCGTAACCAGTCTCCTCCCACTTATTTTTCTTCTCGAAGTCTTCATGCTTCCAGAAATAAATTTACTTAAGCAAGTAGGACAATGGTAGGTAAACTGAACAGGAAAAAATAAGTTCAATTATGCATTTAAGGCTTGAATTCCGGTAAAACAAAACTTCCTGTCTTCCCGCCCTTCACGGAAAAGCATTTCTGTTAACACAGCGCCATCTGCTGGCACCTGGAATCTCTGCAGCCCAATATATTTGCCTTCCGTTTGGGTTGTCCTTGACCAGGGCTGCTCATTAACTCATTCATTCAGAGCACATTCACTGTGAGCTTACTTTGTGCCACACACTGTGTTAGATGCAGGGGTACAAGAAAGCACGGCCACTTCCCTGTCAAGTGTGGTGGTTCTTACACTTGGTACAAGTTAGAATCATCTCGGGAAATGTTCAAAATGCAGATTTCTAGGCTCTGTCCTGCAAAGAATCTGAGCTGGTGATCTGGGATAAGACCCAGGAGCCTGTTTGTTAAACAAACATCACAAGTGATTCTGAAACAGGGAGTTCATGAATCACATTTTGAGAAAAACGAATGATGGAGGAGGAGACAGTGGAATCCATTATTGCAATGTAGTCTGGTAAACGCCACAAAGTAGGGACAGGGTCTGCTGGAGGCCCAGGGAAGGGGCATCTAATCAGACTAGGGGAAAATTGGGGAAGACCGCCCAGAGGTAGAAGTCTAGATACATAGGAGTTGACAAGATGAAGAAGGGGAACAGGGGATGCAGACAGAGGGTGTAGTATATGCAAAGGCAAGAGGGTATGAAACTGCACAGGACGTGCAGGTAGTGTGGGAAATTATCGAAAAGTGCGACTCAATGTCAGAAAATGAAGGCCTGGAATACTAAGCTAACTTTACCCTAAAAGCTCCAGGGAATGTGGAAACTTTTTAAGCAGGAGAATGAGTGGCCCAGATTACAATCATAGGAAAATCCCTCTGTCAGCAATATATTTTTTTTAATCCTCACCCAAGGATATGTTTTTAATTGATTCGAGAGAGTAAGGTACAGGAAGAGGGGGAGAGAGAGAGAAACATCGATGTGAGAGAGAAGCATCAATTGGTTCCCTCCCATACGCACCCTGACCCGTATTGAACCTGAAACCTGGATATGTGCCCTAACCAGGAACTGAACCTGCAATCCTTCTGTGCACAGAGCCACACAGGCCAGGGCTGTTTTATTATTTTTTTTTTATATATATTTAATTGATTTTTTACAGAGAGGAAGGGAGAAGGAGAGGGATAGAGAGTTGGAAACATCGATGAGAGAGAAACATCGATTCAGCTGCTTCCTGCACACTCCCTACTGGGGATGTGCCCACAACCAAGGTACATGCCCTTGACCAGAATCGAACCTGGGACCCTTGAGTCTGAAGGCTGACGCTCTATCCACTGAGGCAAACCGGTCAGGGCTGTTTTATTATTTTTTAATGTTACTCACAAATAATATTTTTGTCAGATTTTGAACCAATTGCAGTACTTTGGACCATTGTTCTCAATGCTTCACTCCTTCCGTGATTTAGTATTTTACATCCATGTCCTTTACTAAATGACTTTGTAGTACCTCCCACTAGTACAGAGTATATTCCCCTGCTTGGAATCCATGACTTGCTCTGGCCAATGCAGTGTTAGTGACACTATGACACAAACAGGGGCTTTGAATGTGCCCTTTTGTGCTTATGCCATTCACCATCCGTGCCTTTGTTCGTTGCGGAGCCTGGAATAATGCAGACCAGGCAGCAGGCCTGAGCTAGACCTCCAGGCTCATTCCAGAGGGGGCCCAGCCAACCCATAGACTTGTGAGCAAGAAAATAAATGCTTTGGGTTGTGTGTCACTGATACAGGTGTTTTTATTACAGAGCACTAGTGCAACCATTGCTAAAACACTGACGTGGAGAAACATTCTTTGGCCAAATTTTTACACTGATTCAGAGACTCTGCGTCTCTATACTCGGCTTCTTGCAAGCAGAGGCTGCCTAGGCACCTTAGATCTCTGACAGTCTAGCAGGCCTCCTAGCCTTTGTCAAGAGTAATAATTTTAGAGGATTTCCAACTTGTTGAGGGGTTACATTGGGTGTCTGCATGTCCCTAGGAAAACAGGCATGAGGCAAAAAAGTGGCAAGTGCCCAACCTACTTCTGCTTATACCCTTCTTTCCCCTTGACCAAACTCGATTCATGGCCCTGATCACAGAATGACCCAAGGAAGCCAAATTCAGTGATATGTTTGAAACCCAGGAGCAGGTTCAGCTTGACCTGTGACTATCCTAAGAGCAGCAGCATTCCCAAGGCCATCGTCTGTGAGGGATGGCTGCCAGAGTGGGTTTTCATTCCCCTTGTCAGAACCTGTGTCTCTGTCCGTTTCTGGGTTGTACCTGACAACCCTGCTTTAGTCTAGAGCAGCCGTGGGCAAACTACGGCCCGCGGGCCGGATCCGGCCCGTTTGAAATGAATAAAACTAAAAAAAAAAAAAAAAAAAAAAAAAAAAAAAAAGACCGTACCCTTTTATGTAATGATGTTTACTTTGAATTTATATTAGTTCACACAAACACTCCATCCATGCTTTTGTTCCGGCCCTCCGGTCCAGTTTTAGAACCCATTGTGGCCCTTGAGTCAGAAAGTTTGCCCACCCCTGGGCTAGAGAGTGGGAAGGACACTGACTCAGGAGTCAAAAGACTAGCTCTGCAGCTTAATTGCCTGACACTGATTAAGTCACTTAAACTGGCTGCCTTTCATTTTCTGTCTGTAAAGTAGAGTAAATAGGCCATGCCCCCAATCATTACCTAGTTGCTATAAAGGTCAAATGAGAAACACTCTCAAACTGTAAAATGAAATACCTGTAGGTGATAAGTCCTTTCACTAGGGGCTTCATTACTGAGCAGGAAGAATGCAGGAATGGCGCCCCTTCTGTTCATTTCAGGAACTGCAATATACCATTGAGGAGCAGGATGGGGAGTCAAGAGGCTCAGGCATTACTGGTCTGTCCTACTCCAGGTTCCCGCTATGAGTTGCTTTATGACTTATTCTTCCTGGTTGTATTTGCACCACTCTGCCTTTCCTCACTTTGGTATCTGTCTGGGCACGGGATCTCCACAGCAGCTTAGAATTCTCCCCCTGACCTGAGATAATTTATTATCCCATTGCAGGGCCATTCACCACTGGGCCTCTCTTGGGCAAAACTTGTGAGATATTTAGAACAGATGAAATTCTAACAGAATTAACCAGTTAACTGCCATGCGTCCAAAACGAAAACCTCTCCTTGCAAGGTGCTTGGTTCGATGATTTCTTCATCTGATGCCATTTATGGGGATTGAATTTTATTTGCACAATATATTATAACAATAAATCTTACCTAATAATAGAAAAACATGTAAATTGACCGTCCCTCTGCTATGCTCACAAGCCAATCAGGAGAGTATGCAAATTAACCCAACAAAGATGGCAGTTAATTTGCATATGCAGGCGCAGAGCGAAGACTGAAGGCTAAAGAGGCTTCGCTTCTCCGCTGCAGCGGAGTGAAGGCCTGGGTCCTGGGTGCCAGAGGAAAACCGGTGCCGGCAGCCAGGGGAAGGAAGGCCTATTGCACGAATCTCTTCGTGCAATGGGCCTCTAGTTCAATAATGAAATAATAATCTTCAATTCTATGGAAATATCAACAAAAGCAAGCGCGAAATAAAAACAAACCATTGACACGAAAAGCCTCAAAAACACTAAATTTTGTTATTCCAAAAATGAAATCTGTAAAAAATAACTAAGAATGTAAACCATGTTTACCATTTTAGGCGTGAAATTCATGATAACACAAACAAATCTCAAGTGTCACAATAAACAAAAAAAAAATCTCAAGTGTCCATGTTTATCTCTGCGCCTCTGAGTGGCAGCCCCATATATTGATATTGGCATTTCTTCCATATGTGCTGGAATATTTACAAATTTAAGTTACCATAATTTTCTTTACAAACCAGAGATGTCACTAACAAGTCTGATTTTAAAATTGGGTGACCAGAGTTGAT